AGTCAGAGTCTCATTCTGTCACCCAGGCTGGAGTGCAGTGGCATACTCACAGCCACTGCAACCTCAACCTGCTAGGCTCAGGTGATCCTTCTGCCTCAGCCTTCCAAGTAGCTGGAACTACAGACACACGCTACCACACCTGTCTAAATTTTTTATTTATTGTAGAGATTAGGTCTTGCCAAGTTGTCCGGGCTGGTCTCGAACCCATGGGTTCAGGCAGTCCTCTCACCTTGGCCTCCCAAAGTTTAGGCGTGAGCCTGGCGTAACTGTAGTTTTCTTAGAGACAGTGTCTCTCTCTTTGTTGCCCAGGCTGGAGTGCAGTGGTGCGATCCTAGCTCACTGTGGCCTAGAACTCCTGGTCTCAAGCAGTCCTCCCACCACAGCCTCTCCAGTAGCTTGGACTACAGGTGCATGCCACCACAACCGGCTGATTTTATTTTTAGTTTTAGAGATGGGATCTTGCTATGTCACCCAGACTGGTCTCAGACTCCTGGCCTCAAGCCATCCTCCTGCATCTGCCTTCTGACTAGTGCACTTGCCAAGTTTGAATGTTCAATGTTCACATGTGGCTGGTAACTCCCGTATTGGAGAGTAAAAATAGAGAACATGTCTGTCATTGCCCAATCCTCTCAGACAGCCCTGTTCTAGCACACAGTGAGTGCTTGTCGCGAATGGAGTCGTTTTGGGCATAAGTCTGCACCGAGCACTGAGCTACTTTCCCTCTCCTCTGTCCACCCACCCTCAAACAGCCCCGTGAGACAGACGCATCTACCATCCCATTTTACAGAGGACACTGAGGCCCAGAGAGGGGAGTCATCCACCAGAGGATGCACAGCCAGGATGCAAAAGAAGCTGGCTAGAAGCGGGCCTCTCCCTGGGGCCAGCTGCCCCTCTCACTCCCTCCCTGGGACGGAGGCAGCACCACAACCTAACACCGGCCCCGCTCACCCCTCTCTGTACAAAGCCCTTGTCCCCGTGAAATTGTACATAAATCATCTTTTTCTACCAGTCCGGCGCCAGGCCTGTCTGTGGATGGGACGGGGTGTGGACGGGGCAGTCTTGATTTCAGCATCCTGGTTTTTCGGTGAATGCCACGTTCCTTCAATATGCGTTTTCTGAGGGCTCAGGGATGGCGCCGGGCAGCGCTGGAACCCAAAGGTGAGTCAAAGCCAGCCCAGTCCTCCCGGGCCTCCTAGTACGGGGTGGAGTCGGAGCCCCAAGGAGGCATCGTGGGGGTCCCGAGGAGGCGTCGGACCCGGGCTGGGGCATCAGGGAGGCTCTCGAGAAAAGGACTCTTGAGCCCAAGGGCACCGGGACTGCCTCAAGCCATAAGCTGGAGGAGGCCGGGGCGGGGGGCGGGGAGGGCATCCCGGGCAAGGGACACACCCGAAGCAAAGCCGAGTTGCTTGGGGGAACACTCGGCAGACGGTGCAGTCCAGGCACCCGGACGTCATCCCTCGATGCACTCTCGGATCTCACGGGGAAGACGACCTCCTCGTTTTACAGAAGCGGACACCGAGGCCCAGGCTAAGCCAGGGGTTTGTCCGGGTCACAGTGGGGCCGAGTAGACACGGGAATCCACATCTCTGAAGGGCGTCCTGGCGGGGCGGGTCGTCCCCTGTGAACCACCACGCGCCCTGCAACCTGCAGTCGCTCGACTGGGTTACGGGGCAATAGCGCTTCCCCTCACAAACATGGCGGACATATCGCGTGAACAAGATGAGCGCCCCTCACAAACATGGCCGCTGAGGCTGGACAGCCACACCCCACAGAGCCGCCTCCCCAACCCACGTGATCTCCAGTCCCTCACAGCCATGGCCGCCAAAGTCGAATCGGAATGATGCCCTGATTGGACCCTCTGAGAAAGACCCGCCTTCAGTAGGTCACCGCTGCGCACGCGCAAAACACTTCGACCAATGAAAAGACAGAAAGTAGCCCGGGCAGGCCGTGTTGCGTCACTTCTACCGCCCCTGCTTCAAGGGATAAGAAACCCTGCGCCACCACTTCCTCCTTTCCTAGGCGGCTGCCGAAGATGGCGGAGGGGCAGGTGGGGTCTCTGCGCGGGTCCGAGCGGCATGGGGCCGGGTGGGATCCAGACCAGAGTGGGATTGGGCCCTCTCAGTCCTCCTACGTGTGTTGTGATGCTTATCACTCATAAATGAACAAAGTGGACGCCTTTTATATTAAGAGGAGTCCGTACAGAACGTTGGCGTCGTCTTTAAGACCTAGAGATGGCGAAAATGCGGCTTCTTACTCTTGGAGGTCAGGGATGAGGATGAGAGCGTCTAGCAGGGAAAAGGGGTATTTTACAACTAGACTTGGACCTACCTTGATCTCGGGTGGTGAGTGGGGGCCCTGGGGTCGGGTCGTGGCCGAATTGAACCCTCGTGTGTTCCCGGCCATGGGGAGCACACGGAAGCCTGGCTGGGTGGCCTCGGGGCCCTGGGAAACAGGCTTGGCCGAAGTGGAAGGCACTAACAATCCTGCCCAATGCGCGGGCTGCTTCTACCCCACGTGGGGAAGCGTTAATCGGGGTCCCCTGCAGCTTCGTTTGTTTTAATACGAAACCACTTTCTGCGGGGGGTCGAGAGCTCTGCTCAGGGGGCCGTCAGGAATGAATTGTTCTTTTCCCTGGCTTGGGGTTGGTGATGGCCTTCAAGGCGTGCTGCTGCGGAAGGCAGAGGGCTGGGATGAATGGATTCACCGCTGAGGGACGTCCTTCGGCCGTCCGGCCACCTGGGGGGGCCCCTCGGGGAGCACAGCAGGAACTTAGCTCTGAGTCCTGGCTTGTATGACAACAGAGGAGGAGCTGGTTCTGGAGAGGGGTCCCTTGTAAGCAGGGTCTGCGTGATTGCGGGGGGGGGGGGCACGACTAGGTTTTGAGCCCGGCAGACCTTGGCGAGTGCTGGAGCTCACCGAGCATGTGACACCATGCCTGGTATGTATTGCTTGTGTAGTTGTGGTTTCCTGAGGCAGACGTTGTTATCCTCATCTTACAGGGGAGGAAATTGAAACATGGAAAGTTGGAGATTTTTGGCCAAGGTCCCATTGTCAGGAAGCCTGGCTGTAGATTCCGTACTCTCCTGCATTGCCTTCCAGCACTCACAAAGTATCTGTCACAACTGTTGGGCGCTTCGTTACCTTATGCTTTGTGGTCTATAACACTGGGGATCTCTACTCTTGAGGAAGCTGAGGATCGGTGCTTGAGCGCTTGACCCAGGAGGCAGCGTGAGTCAGTGGCAGAGTCGGCATGCGC